CTCTCTCTCTCTCTCTCTCTCTCTCTCTCTCTCTCTCTCTCTCTCTCTCTCTCTCTCTCTCTCTCTCTCTCTCTCTCTCTCTCTCTCTACCCTGTGCACATCAACCACCTCGCGCTGCTCGCCCTGCGCATGGTTTCAAACTGCGCCCAACCGCCATTCGCCAACTGCCTGCCTCGTTCGGTCTCCACACCGTTCCACACCCTTTCCTACAGCCTGCCCCGTTCGACCTCTGCACCATTTCCCCGCCGCCCACCTTTCCTACATTCTGCCCCGTTCGACCTCCGCACCAGCTCGCCGCCCGCTCCCCGCATGGGCCGTGGGCCCCTTTCGGCCTTTCCCAACACTTTCCCCGGGGGCTCACGTGGGACGCTCACGCGAGACCCTCTATTTCCTTTAGACTATTAGAGATGCCGGGAACCAGACCCAGCGTCCCTCACAAAATTTGTCGAAGCTCACAGGCTGAGCAAGGCTCTCCGGCCAAGCAGAGCCCGGGCCACGACTGTGGCAAGAATTTTGCCTCTTATTCTCCTCTGTGTTCAGTCCCTCTGCTGTCAATTATTCCACGTAGATCTAAGTCAAGTCCTGGCCTACTGAGCAACTAAGAGTCTTCTCAGAATCTACTATGAGCACTCTACACGGACCGAACAAACAACCATTTCATGCAAGAAAAAGAGAGACAAAAACCAATGCAGCCATTTTACAATCTTTATACAGCCTAGCAGCCTGCTGTGTTCACAAGAAGAACCCTGAAAAACGCAGGCGGGGTCGTTGCTCTTGCAGACATTCCAGGGTGAGCAGCCCCAAGAACTCAGTCCAACATGAATTAGAGTACGACATTTCTTTGTGAGAGTTTACCCTTTCTGTTGCACTCAATACTCCCAGTCCGCCACAATCGCTTGTTTGATGGCATATTTGACTTCGGCTCGAACCATCGGTGGTGACAGCTTTTCTCCTCTTCTGGTCGCTGAGTTCCTCAAGTTCCAAGGGGTCCACAATATTGCTCCCCTATGTGTCTCTTCCACATATTATGCAAAACGCCGAGAAAGGGGCACTTGTCTCGCCGCCGTGCCTAGCAATAGGAACCTGTCCGTTCATCTTGAGTCATTACGGGGAACTGCAATGTTCTGTTATCTCCACACACCAGTCCCAGAAGGACCCAGAAATGTCGCAGTGAAGAACAAAATGCTGCAGATCTTCCATTCGGGTTCCCGGGCATATCAAGCATTCTGATCGTGCTTTAGCCACAGGGACAGCCTGGCGCATCATTAGTCAAAGGAAACTGACATGCTTGACAACCAACGAGTCCATAAGGTTTTGCAAAACATAGGCAACGCTACAGGTAAGCGTGTCGACAAATCAACAACCCATCCTGTCACCAGCCACCTACGGGCCACGATCCAGTTAATGACAACTACTGTCTTCACCCGAATAGAATGCTCGTCACCCGGTCATTATAGCGGCATTTGGCCCAACTTTCATTCCAGATGCAGCAATGACCGGGCGTTCTATTCGGGTGAAGACGGTAGTGGTGTGGAGATATCTGGGGTAGCCCATTTTAGTTGAATACGCGTGTGTGTATAGGGATCATTTTGTTCCTGTGCAGAGGGTGTTCCCAGGCCCAGTCCTTGGGGTCTACAGACAGTGAATGTGAAGGTTGAGAAAGGCAATAGGGTCGGTATCCGTCAGCATATTCCAAGACACATACCGGCACCAGATCTTGAGCTGGCGGCCCAGGTGCCGGGTTTTGAGCCAGGATCGAAATAGATCCTAGCCCAAAAAACACCATCTCGCACTTCCCAACACGAGTGTGGGATATTCACCTCCTGCAAATTATTATCTTCTAACGTCCAAACCTTCACTGGCTGTCCATGCTGTTGACGCTTGTACCACATTCCTGACGCAGGGACTACGCCTGCTCTCAAAATTTCCACCCATCGCAAGCTGGGGGGACCGCCTGCTGCACCTGCTGAAAATGATCTTGCCAGTGCTGGTTCCAAAGACCAGATAACAGTGTCGCGAACGTTCCTTGGTAATTTAAAGATGAGATGGTGTTGGATATGCTTTGATCGATCTCGTTCGTAAGAGCTTCCGCAAACTTTGACAATACTGCCATACTGGTCAATTTACTTTTTGTAAAGTTTTTTAACTTTTTGTTTTTTTTTCGGGACCATTTCTCGATTTATGCGTGTCATCCTTACTTGAGCAGGGGCCATGCTAATCCTCATTCTCTGTACCGTTCCAATCCTTTTAACGGATGGACTACTGGTCAATTTACTACCATTTTGTCCATTGCATTTTTTTTTCACAAGGGTACGAAGAACTACTAAGAGAAGGCTAAAGAGGTCTTCTGCAAGAAATACACAATGTTTAACACAAGAACCTCCTGAGTCCTAACCAAATTGACACATGCCGGAGCACCCAGGTCTCTTGCTAGGAGGGGGTGCTCTTACCACCTCTCCTAGCAAGGACACTGGGTTAATGTAAAAAAAAAATAAAAAAATTTGACACATGCCACACGGAATCGCATGATGAGAAGTAAACTCACCCAAAAATTAGTCTTGAGAGCAAAAGTCGTTGTGGGGCCGATGGCTACAGCACCTTTGTCATAAACAACTAGATCAACGCAGGAATGAATCCCATCGAGAAGTGGACCAAGAATGCACCCAGAAGCGAAGAGAATTCCCGCCAGCTTCAACCAATCCTGCCCATCGTAGAACAGATGAGTACTCTCAAACACAACATCATGCAACAAGACAACGCTGACACCCAGAGGATTAAAGAAAAAAAGAACAAGACACACACAAAGCTGACATAGTAGTACATAGTACATACATAGTACATACATAGTACATACATAGTACATACCCTTCGATAATATTCAGGGTAGACCATGTGCCAATAATACAGCAACTAGAGAGAATGCACCCCCCCTTCCAAAAAAAAAAAAAACGAAAACGAAAAAGAAAATGCAATTACACAACCCATCCTTCAAATTTTGAAACAATATGATCAGATACAATGTAACAACTGACACCTGAAATCAAACCGTGCCATTTTGTTACCTTCAATATTTTAGTTGATGCCAGGACCGGACAAATACAGCAAGAAACCAAACACCCAGACTATGTGAGGAATCTGAGGATAGGACAAAAACATCAAGAAACCAAACAACCAGACTATGTAACAAAGCATCAGGAACAAGCTATAACGATCCATGGTGGACGTTCATTTTTTTTTTCTAGGGTGGATGCCATGTGTGCAAAGATCACAGAGTCGCAAATGTGGAAGGACCGTTCCGACCGAGCAGGGATATAACAAATCCAGACCGGCAGACCGGCAGATAGGCGGATAGGCAGATGCCCGGGCATCCCTCCATAATCAGGAGGCATGCATGTCACAGGCGGTTGTTCCCTATATTTGCCAGGATCACTCCTGCAAGGAATATGAGTGTGAACGATATACAGAAAACCAATGTTGCGAAGTCACAAAGATTTCCAGGTAGTCGTATCCAAGCAGAGAGTACAAAATGCGCCGAGAAGCCATCCATATAGAGTAATACGATGAAGTAATGAGCCAATGTTCAAGCCCGTAGGCCACACCAACACAGTATCCAAAGTCACTCTTCTATGTCTGGCGCCCAGCGCCCAACCTACTCTGCCCGACTATCCTACCTACAGCTGGTTCACGCAACAGGCTCACTTCCACTCTCGAAGACCAATGTACATGACTGTCAACTCCATATCCGACCTTTCTTCATGCACCAGGTACGCATCTCGTCACCCTCAATCAGACCTTGATTACCCCACACTCGCCTCCTTCCCTGAAGACCACCAGATCGCCCGCTGTACCCCCTGGCGCCCAGCAGCCCGGCTATGGCCGCCTGCGCCCCGCTGCCCTGCAGCACCCCACTTCACCACTACGCGCCCCGTCAGCACCCTTGGCAGCAGCGCCGCAGCACTTCCGCATTGCCTGCACTGGCCAGAATGCCTGGCCTGGACTGCTCTCTTCCTTTTGTGGAAGTGGCAGCCTCCTGGATGCTGCGTGCGGCCTGGCTGGAAGCTTCCAGTAGCTTCCGGTTGGGCCTCAGACACTGCGCCCAGGCCTGAGACTACAGTTGAGGGCCTGGGCCCTTTTCAGTTGGGCACGGCCTGAGTCTCCGGACTTGGGCTGTTTGCTGCATCTGTGCAGGGCTCCCAGGCCGGTGCGTCGGCGGTACTGCTTTTACAAAGGCCGATGGCCTGCTTCCCAACGTATCGGCCCTGCTCTGTGTGTATGTGCCCAGGCGCAACTGTCAAGGCCTGGGCCAACTGCATGACGCAGCTTTGTGAGGCTCACGCGTCTACCCAACCAACTGGCGTGCTGCGAGAGCCTGAATACCCACATATGGAAATGTCGAATTTTGCCTCTGATGAATATTCAGGCCCGCCTTCACTTAGGGCGGGCACTCGGCTTGCTGGGGGCCTTAGCCCAGATCATGTGATGTCTGATAGGGCCCCTTGAGGGCTTGTTCCTCGCACTCCGCACCACCACGTGGAATCGAACCGGTGATCTCGGTCAGGCCATAACAGCCAGATGCCTTTACCACTGCAAAAATGTGACACGGTGTTTGGAACAACCTTACAGAATGATGACATTCAGCCCACCCCAGCACAGTTGCAGCAAGGATGTACATTGCACACTCAACACACTCAGCAGAGTCAGCACCCATCCAGACATTCCGCAGGCACAGCCACACACTTACTGCATCATGACCTATTCTACGCAGTCACCAACTCCAGGTGAACCTCTCCTAGAAGGTTCCCACACTAATATTCTGTTCAGTAAGATTGGATGGATAGACGGACAATAATGTGATCAAACAGGTGGCTGAGCAGATAGACGGACAATAATGATCAATGAAAATGAACAAATAACAAACAAATGAAACTACGGACAAACAAACACACAAGCAAAGAAATCACTCGATGAGCAATCAAATGAACGAACGAACAAAATGAGACTACAGAATGAATAAGTAAACAAATGGTTGGATGTGTACATTCCCATAAGAAGGACCATAACAACTAAGCAAGCAGTAAATCCACGGAGCAATAAACTGAAAATATATTCAAAATAACTTTCCCAATGATGAAAGACATACTCCAGAATTAAAAAGGGGAATGCGCTGGTTAAAAGAAAAAAGGGGGGGGGAGATAAAAAAAGATCATCAGAAACAGATATGAACCAAACAAGCAATTGAACTCAATCCTTTTTTTTAATCTTACTATTAATATGTTGGGTCGACGCAGCTGGACCAGTTGGATGACTGACTGATAATATGTATTTGTCTTCAATGGCTGGGATTTGGATGCAACTCTCCTCCTGATCCCTGAAAGGTTCTGGTCAACCTATTGATTCCATGCCTATCAGTTGACATTAGGAAGTGCACAGGACCAAGGAATCATCAATGTGAAGAAATAACTCAAAGATCACACAATGCAAGCAAGATGAATAGCAGCAAAGCAATGTGAAGCAACGGGAGACTCAAAGGTAACAATCCAACTCAGTTGGATTCATGAAAGGTCCCTCCTTGCTCACACACACGCATGGGGGGAAACTATAGGTAAGGGAGGCAGGGAAGAGACAAATGACATTGTGGAGAAGATTCTGAATAAGAAAGGGAGGAAGAGGGAAAGTCAAAGTGGTAGCAAAATTTAGCCGCCAAATGGTCTCTCCCCAAAACCAACCCCACAGTCGTCATCAACCAAATGTCAAGTCCGAATTCTGGGAGCAATAGCTGCCCGACATAGTAACCAAGCTCCGGTCTTTCTCTGTCTCAGGAGCTGAAGGAGGGAGTTAGTGGATACGGAGGGCAAGGAGAAGAGAGAAGAAAAAGAAGAAGTCTCTCTCTCTCTCTCTCTCTCTCTCTCTCTCTCTCTCTCTCTCTCTCTCTCTCTCTCTCTCTCTCTCTC